GCAAGGTCATGAGTTTGGTTCCCGGTACCGGAGAAAAACCAAAAAAAAAAAAAAAAAAAAAAAAAACCATGTTTATTTATCAAGCCCTTGAAAACCTGTAAGAAAAGTAAGAAAGTTTTTAAAAAATGAGGACTTCCAGGAAGATGGCAGTATGGTGAACAGCAGAAAATCAGCCTGAGGTTTGGTGTCCAGACACTGGAATAAAGCAACATGAGGAAGAGAAAGAGGGAAGTGGGTCCTTGGGACCCAGCAAGGATCTCAAGCGAGAAATAAAGTCCACAAGGTAGGTAGCAAGCAGTGCCTTCTCTGAGGCCTGACTCACTGCGTAGGAAGGGCTGTCCAAATCTGCAGGTGGATTGGTGACCCCAGAGGTCTCCAGAGAGAAATGTACCAGTGGAACAGAACAGTAGTGAATACAGCAGACTGCAGTGGCTAGTCATTTTTTTGGGTTCAGATATCCCCTAAGAAAGGGCAGTTGGCCAGCAGCCATCTTGGAAAGGGACAGACTGAACTCTGATTTTAGAGCAACTGCTAGCTCCATGTAGCAGCTCCCAGTGTCAGAGCCAAGTGGGACTGAGATCAGGTCAGCAGGAGGTCAAGGTGCCCAGTTCAAGTTTGCAGGGAGCCAAGTTCAAGCCAGTAGGATAAAATTGTGTTATCAGCCTAATAATGAGAAATGTGCCTGAACATCAGGGGAACTAAAGGTGCAGGCTTGCTGGGATTGTCTACTACCCACTTTAAATCTACATCTGGCTTGCTGGTATTAATTAACCCAATCTGGGCTCTGTTTTCCCAATTTGTCTACCAGTGACAGGAGAGACACATCTTCAAGTGGACATTTAGTTTTTATATTTTCTTCTTTTCTCCTTTTCTTGCTTTTGTTTTGTTTTCCTTTTTTCTTGGTTGTCTGTACTTGTTTTTATATGAGTGTGCATATTGTTTCTAGTTTTTTGGTTTTCTTGTTCTGCTTTTGTCTTCTTTCTTCTTTTTCTCTTTTCCTCCTCTTTTCTTTACTAGATTCCCAAAGATCATGTAATCTTTGTCTGCCAACCTTGCTTCTAATCTCTTCCTCTTCTTCTATTTCTCTATTTTTCCCCTAACCCCTTTTAAGTTTTCTCCCCTGAGGGTAAAATAGCCATATTGACAGCATATTTACCATATACGGTTTTCTGGTTTGTTTGAATTTTGTTGTATAACGACTAACAGAATTCATATGGTGGAAGGTAGCAAATCAAGTTACCACAGTTTGTCATCTTCTAGGCTGTTTGATGCTACTTTTATTTCTGATTATACCATTTTAGCCAAAGTGACATAATTGCTCTAATCAATTTTAATTCCTCGTATGCAAAGACTGAGATTTCCTAAAGATCATAAACAATACTATAGGCCAGTGCCAAAGAACCAGGGACTAGGCCAAATAGGCAGCAATTTCTCATCCTCAATAAATTCAATGGGTAGGATCTTGCAACAGACTCAAAATCCAAAGGTCAGCTATACTGGAAGACATCTGTGATTAGCAGTCATTTCCTTAGGGTTCTAAATACAAGCAATAAAACCACTTGCCATAAGCAATTTACAAGCATAAATCCAGGAATTAAACTTTAGAAAAAGCCAGAAAATGAGAAGAAACTTCAGCAAGATGTAACCTAAGACTTCTATCTCACCAAAGAAAAACCTGTAGGGAGTGGCTAAAGCTGGAAATACTTGGGTCCTGAGAAAAACATCTTGCGTGAGACAATTCCAGTCATTAGTCATTAGCCAATCCTGTGTCTTGTGATACTAACTTTGTCAAAAGTATAAGTAAACACCCCTACTGCTGTTGTACAGTTTCCCTTCTCCCATTTGAAAAGAGGCCTCCACCTGACATCAGCTTTTGTCTCATCTTATTCTTTAAATCATCTCACCATTTTCCCCTGGGACCATCAAATGCTGTGTAGGTTGAGGGAAAAACCCAGGGGGCAATGAGGCAGAACAATTTGAAAGCCACCCAGCTGGACTCTGGAGGGGTAACAGTGGAAGTCACAAAGCAGATAAATGAGTGCCTAGAAACAATAAATCAGAAAAACTTTCTCAGGTAACTACAGAGATGGTGACCATAATGAAAGAATTGGTTAGTGATTCTAGAGCAGATACAGATAAAAAAAAATATGGAAATCTTGAATACCCAACAGAGGAAAGAAATAGAATCCATGAAACACATTTAAACAGAAATTCAGGAGATTAAAAATATTCCTTTGAAAATATGCTCAGTAGAATCAACCAATGTGAGGACAGAACATCAAATATAAAAGACTGGATTGCAGCTAGTGATTTTTAAAAATAACAAGAGATCATGAAAAATCAATCCAACAGCTGCTAGATGATGCAAAGAAGAACAACATGAGATTGATTAGAGTCAGCAACAAAGCAGGAGATATTTCAAACAACAGAAAAAAACTGTTCACAGAAATAATGGCAGAAAACTTCCCTGGCATGGAAAAATAATTTGACATACAGTTAACCGAGGCATGTAGAATTCCAATTAGCCATGATTTAAAAAAAAACCTACATCAAAGCATACAATAGTCAAGATTCCAGAAAATCAACACAAGAAAATAACATTAACAGCTTTTAGAGAAAAGAAGGATATCACTATAAAGGAAAAGCCCATCAGAATCACAGTAGACTTTTCAACACAAACTCTCAAGTCAAGGAGACTTCAAAGGAATTATTTGAAGCACTAAAAGAAAACAACCTCCAACTCAGATTGATGTACACCACACAAACTATGTTTCAAAACTGATGGAGAAATGATACTTCCATGACAAAGAACATCTGAAGAAATTCATGACAACCAAATCAGCACTATACAATGTTCTGAAGGACATTCTAAAAAGAGATAACAAAGTTTACAACTCCATGAACCCAAACTGAATGAATCTACCTGGAAAAGAAAGTGACTAAATGGGGGGGGGCAAACAACAGGAAAATAATGACAAGGATTAGTCAATATATATCAGTTATAACCATCAATTTTAATGGTCTCAATTCACCAACCAAAAGAAACACACTGGGAGAATGGATCAAGAAGCAAGATCCCACAATATGCTTCATACAAGAAACACATTTAATTCAAAAAGAAATTCAAAGACTGAAAGTCAAATGTTGTCAAACAATACTACATGTGACAGGAACACAGAAAAAAGCAGGAGTAGCTATATTTTCTGCAGATAAAGTTGATTTCAAGCCAAGACTGATTAAGAGAGACAAACAATGCCACTATATCTTTGTAAAGGGAACAATCCAAGAATAAAAGATAACAATCATAAATACATATGCACCAAATACCAGTACATCCAACTATATAAAACAGATTGATTAACAGACATGAAAAATCAAACAACCACTAATACAACTGTAGTGGGGGACCTCAATACCCCACTGTCACAGTAGATCAACCAATAAAAAATCAACAAAAAATATCAGAACTGAACCAAACTGTTAAGCAAATAGACTTAGTACATGTCTACAGAGTGTTCCACCCCACAACATCACAATACACATTTTCTTCAGCTGTACGTGGGATGTTCTTCAGACCACGTATTAGGATATGGGAGGCTTTCCAGACCACATACTAGCTACCTGAACCTGCTTAAGTAAAGGAAAAGGAATTGAAATTATTCCATGCATATTATTGGACCACAGTGCAATAAAAATGGAAATGAATGACAAAAGAAACCATAAGAACTTTATAAACATATAGAAATTAAATAACATCTTGCTGAACAATCAATGGGTCACAGATAAAAACTAAATAAGAAATTAGACAGTTTCTACAACTAAACAATAATGCCAATACAATATGGGACACAATAAAAGCAGTTGTACAAGGGAAATTTGTAGTCATCAATTACCATATCAGAAAAACAGAGCTAGCTCAAATAAACAACAGAATGTTGAGCCTCAAGCTTCTGGAAAAACAAGAGCAAGTCCAGCCCAAAACTCTAATGAGGGAGGAAATTATAAAAACAAGAGCAGAAATTAATGAAATGGAGATTAAGAAAATAATGCAAAGAATCACTGAATCAAAGAGTTGGTTCTTTGAAAGAATAAATAAAACTGACAAATCCTTAGCCAATTGTATCAAAAAAAGGAAAGAAAAGACTCAAATCCATGGAATTAGAAATAACAAGGGTAAAATCACAACAGATCCTATATAAATCCAGAAGATCAACAATATGTACTTATGGAAAACACAGAAGAAATCGACAGATTCCTAGATATATATGAATTACCAAAGCTGAATGAAGAAGATATAAAAATTCTAAATAAACCAGTATCAATGAAATTGAAGATATAGTAAAAACCTAACAACAAAGAAAACCCTAGGCCCTGACAGACTCACTGTTAAATTCTAGGAGAGAAGACCTAATGCCACTACTTCTCTAACTCTTGAATGAAATTGAAATGGAAGCAATACTTCCAAATTCATTCCTAGAGGCAAGCATGACCCTGACATAAATCCCAGAGAAGGACCCAACCAAAAAAGAGAATTACAGGTCAATCTTCCTACTGAATACAGATATAAAAATCCCTCAATAAGATATTGGTGAACAGAATGCAATAAATCATCAAGAAGATTATACGTGATGGTCAAGTAGGACTCATTCAAGGGATGCAGGCATGCTTCAACATACTCAAATCAATAAATGTAATACACCATAGTAACTGAACCAGGAGAAAACCATATGATCATCTCAATAGATGCAGAAAGCATATGACAAAGTCCAACATCCACTTTTGATAAACACCCTACAATAAATTGGAATAGATTGTCTTTATCTCAATCTGATAAAAGCCATCTATGACAAACCAACAGCCAACATCATACTAAATGGACAAAAACTGAAAGCTTTCACTTTCAGGAACAGGACAAGGAAGTCCACTATCACTACTCTTATTCAATATAGTTCTGGAAACAGTAGCCAGAGTAATTAGACAAGAGGAAGAAATAAAAGGAATAAGGATAGGAAAAGAAGAATTTCAATTATCATGATTTGCAGATGACATATTCTACATAGAAGACCCCAAAAACTCTACCAAAAGACTTCTACATTTAATAACCAAATTCAGTACTGTAGTTGGACACAAAGTCAGCAATCAAAAACCAATAGCATTCCTCTATACAAACAACAAACTCAGAGAGAAATTACAGAACTTTTCACAATAGCATCGAAAAAACTGAAATACCAAGGAATGAATCTAATGAAGGAAGTAAAAGACCTTTACATTGAAAAACTACAATACTGTGAAAAAGGTGATCAAAGAGGATACCAGAAAACAGAAAGACATCTTTTATCTTTTGTTTTTGGCTATGAAAAAACAATATAGTGAAAATGGCTATACTTCCAATATTGTTACACGGATTCAATGCAATCCTAATCAAAATACCAATAGCATGCCTCACAGAATTAGAACAATCTTAAAATTCCTCTGGAACCAGAAGAGAACTAGAATAGCAAAAGCAATTCCGGGCAACAAAATCAAGAGTGGAGGCATCATAACATCTGACTTCAAAGTATACTGCAAAGCTACTGTGATAAAACAGCATGGTAATGTGTTGGGGACCACAAAGTCACAATGGCTAGTTTTACATACTTCCCTAAGAGATGAAGGGAGTCTTGGGATTTTTGGTATCACACTTTTGAGATTTCCCATTATCACATTAGGGGTGGGCCATTCCCTCCCACCTACTAAGACTAAGACTAAGACCACTGAGACTAAAGATACTCCAGGGCAAGATCCTCATTAGTTTAAGCTTACCACTGCCCTTTGAGATATCCAATAATCCCCTCTTCAATAAAAAATGCTGAGGTTCTGGCTGCCTCATGGACTTTTGTTCCCTGTGAACAACTGGCCATCCCAGATCCTCACAACTTGCTATTTGTCTTTTGCTCTTCTTTCTCTCACTGTGAACTGTAACACTTTGCAGAAGACTGGAGGCTCACTGCAGGCGTCCCCAATTGTACTAGTAAAAAACAGACCCGAAGATCAATAAAACAGATTAGAAGATGCAGAAACAACTGCAAATATACTCAGCTACCTTATCTCTGACAAAAAGGCCAAACACGTTCACTGGAAGAAAGTCTTTTTAATAAGTGGTGCTGGAAAAATTGGCTTTCCTAATACTAGACCCATGTCTCTCACCATGCACTAAGCAAATGTCAAAATGGATCAAACAACTAAATATTACAACTGAAACACTAAATCTGTTAGAAGGGAAAATAGAAAGAACTCCTGAAAACACTGATGTAGGCAAACCCTTTATGAACAAAATCTTGACTGCACAGGAAATATCACAAAGAATCAACAATTGGGATCTCATCAAAAACCTTTTGCAGAGCAACAGAAACTACCAAGAGTGAAGAGACAATATTTTAGCCAAATGTTCCTCAGACAAAGAACTAATATCTAGACTATATAAAGAATTCAAAAAAAATCAGATTCCCCCCCCCATTTAAAGACCCAATCCAAAAAATAACTCCAAAAATGGACATCTGAAATGAATAGATACTTCTCAGATGAAGAAGTAGAAATGGCAAATAAATGTATGAAAAAACGTTCAACATCATTGGTTGATGTGATGCAAATGTTAAAAATGCTGACATTCTATCTTACTCCAGAAAGAATGGTTATCATCAAGGTATCAAACAATAACAAATGCTGGTGTTGCTGGGGGGAAATAGGAGCCCTTCTCCACTGTTGCTGCTAGTGTAGACTGGTCTAATCACTGTGGAAATATGTGTAGAGATTCCTCAAAAAGTTAGGGTTAGATGTCCCATTTGACCCAGCTATTCCTCTTCTGGGTACTTTCCCAGAATTAAAAACATCATATCACAGTGATATATGTGCACCCATGTTTATAGCAGCAGAATTTGTAATAGCTAAATCTTGGAAACAACCAAAATGCCCATCAACTGAGGAATGGATAAAGAAGACGTGTTTTTTTTTTATATGATGAAATACTGTTCTACCATAAATAGGGTAAGTTTGAGACATTTCTAAGTAAATGGATGCACCATGAAACTCTACTATGAAGTGAAATAAATCAGACACACATATTTAAATACCACATTGCTTCTCTGGTGTGAGGAACTAGATGTATAAATAAGGATGAAAATGTATAATAAATATTGGGAAATGGATGAAAATGCTCAAATGAGAAAGGGAATAAAGGAGGGGAAAGGAAAGAAGAGGCAAGATAAAAAAGGAAAAAAGTAGAAACAAAGCTTTTGTAAATGAGAGGAAGAGGTGTTGAAGCGAGGGGAGGAGAATGGGAAAAAAGACAAATTAAGATATATCATGTACAGTATAAATTACCTATGATGAATGTTATCATTATTTATATCTAAAATATACCAGGAAAATTAAAAAGAAATGAGATAGAGGTTGGGTGCAGTGTCACATGCTGTAATCACAGCTACATGGGAGGCCAAGGAAGGAGAATCACAAGTTTGAGGCAAGTCTGGGTAACTTAGAGACCCTATCTCAAATTAGAGAGAAAAGAAAGAAAACAAGGGCTGGGGACGTAATTCAGTAGTAAAGTGCTTGTCTAGCATATGTGAGGCCCTTGGTTCAATTTTTAGCCCTACAGGAAAAGGTATGGTTTTATATTAATCAGTTTAGCTTTTTATCTTAGATACATAAAACGTAAAACAATTCCTTCTTTTCACGTGCACTTCACCAATATTATAGAAAGCATGGGCTTGGCATTTTATACACTGAAAGTGGTGCTACTAATCAACTCATCCTTCTTTCGTTTTACAAAGATATAGAAGGGCAGGAAGTTGAGTGAACTACACAAAATCACACAGCTAGTGGTAGAACTGAAGCTAGAACACAGCTTTGGATTTAATTTAATTTAATTCATATAATTACCTTTTTTGGAAGAACTGTTTGTTCCTCATTAGAAACTGTCTCCAAGGTTTCTTTACCATCACTTTCTATGTCTTCTCTACTTGAGGTCTCATCCTCACTGGCAACAGGCCCGTTCTCACACAGTGGCGTCTGAAAGTCATCATCAACCAGGGGTGGGTAGCTATACTTGAAAGGGTCCTAAAAGAAAAGGATTTCATGTCAGCCTGCAAAGGGTTGGGTGAACAAGAAATTCTCTGATAAAAGACTTAAAATTCATTCCTTTGGCCAAGCCATCATGAAGGATAAAGGAGACATTTATAGCTAAATCATGGATAGCAAAAGACTTCAAATAGAAAATTTTGGTTCAAGTCTTTTCTATTCAAAGAAAACAAACAGGAGGACATACCAAAACTTCTTTTTATCTTATAGTCCTTGGTTCTCATTGAACACAACTTTACCAGGAGGCAGTATACAAAGTAGACTGCAGAAATTAAGTGAAATATGAAGTTCACTGAAAATTTATCAAATCTGTAGGTTTTACAGTTTATAAAAAAGTCACTGTCATAATTGGTTTCATTGTTGTATAATAAAAAATTTAGCATGTACCCACTATCTTTAAGTAATAAAAATCCATTTAAAAATATCTTGAGTGCTGAAGGTAACTTAGTGGTATGATCTTGTTCAATAGAAAATTAAAAGAAAACTAAAGACACCACAAAAAAAATTCAGTAAGTTATAGGTCATCTGATACTGGAATATTATGTAGCCACGAACAAAAGCAAGAATACTTACAACATATTGATTTGGAATGATATTTAAGACAAGGTGTGAAGAAAAAAGGCAAGATTAATAGTGTATAAATATATCACCTGTTTAAAAAGTATAGGAAAAGGAAGATTCATATATACTTGTGCATACGTGCTATACACTCCTCTGGAAATTATTGTAAGAAATACATTTAGGGAAGGGAAAAGGGTGGTTGGCTAAGAGTAGGAGGAAACATTTTATTAAAGACTTATTTCCGAATACTCTCCTGAATACTGAATACTCTTCAGTTTAGAACCATGTAAATATATTATGTATTCAAAAGTAAAAATAAAAATAACTTAAAAACTTAAGCGAAACATGTCTGTGTCATTGCTTGCCACTTTAAGATATCTGTGATCTTTCTTTGGATGTTTTGATACTGCTTTTCCTTTGTCCTTGAAAGAATACAGTCTTATGTACTGTCAGCCAGCATTATTTCATAAACACATTTCAAGGACTATACTTACAGTTCCACCCATGTGTGGAGGCAGGTATTCTACATTGACATAGTCCTGGATTTCATTTTTGCTTGCAAACTTCAATAAACTCACTGCTTCTGGGCCAAGCCAGCCTTTTACAACTCTGAAAGCAGCTGAAGAAAAAAGTCACAGCATTAAAATTCTTTTCATTCTCTCTATGCATTACCTTATTGTATGTGCTAATCCAGGTCTTGCTGTGACTATCCCTTACAGGTTTCAAATGTTCCATGAAGATTAAATTACTACTGATGATCTCTAGGAAACTTATCAGGTTTTGGATCTCTAAATATATCCATCGGTGATCTAAATCACTAAGATTTCTAGACCTTTCAATCAAACTGTCACGTGAGCGAAGGAAGAACTGAACAATCTATGAAGAGCCATTTGTCTTAAACACTCAATGGACAGAACTAGAGACCACACTCATAAGTGAAATAAATCAGACCCGTATGTGTAAACACCGTATGGTCTTACTAACTTAAGAACCTGAAAGAGTGAGTAAAAATTATGATAGATATTTTGATATCTATCAAAATATCTGATACAGTATGACAGATAATGGGAAACAAAAGGAAACTTCTTAAACGTAAAGAACAACTAGGATGAGGGAAAAGAGAAAAGAAAGAAGGGGAAAATTATGTATATATGCATACACAGGATAGCTAACAGTTGTACCACTGACTTCTATTGCTTTATTGAAAGGAACAGTTAATGTTTAATTGTTTGATCAATCTTACATGTCTATATTTGTTTACCTGAGTGACCAATTTGAAGATATCAATACGTCACAACTGTTGTTAATTTCCCATCACCTTGTCTGAAACTGTATTGCTTGTATCGTTTTTGTGTTATTTTGTAAATGTGTGTGTTTGTTATTATGTTTTCATCCTTTTATCTTTAAAATAGAAAACAAAAAAACACTGAATGGGAAAGCCTTCCCAGAGGAGAAGTCAGGAAGAGAAGGGAGTAGCCCTCACTATGGGTGTGAACTAGACCTGAATTTCCTTCCTAACTCTAAACTCTGCCTTTTGCCCAGGCCCTGCAGTTTAATAACTGTGAGGAAGTTACAGAAACTACAAGAATAAATGGTTATCAGACACAGCTGTTTGGTAATTACAAGCTTGTTCTGTCATGCCATTTCTTACTTTCACTTAATTTTTAAACCTCATTTCTAATGAGACACTGAACAGCCCATTTTAAAGCAACAAAAAAGAATCCTGCATTAGATGTGCAAAAGTGTCAATAGAATAAAACAGCAAATAAGAATAGCATGACAAACATTAAGTAGTAACTCAGAAAAGTACTTTTTACTTTTGCTCACTGTGGTTCAAGTTTTTTTTTACATGATATTTAAATTTTCATTAATTTCAATTTTAAAAGCTTGTGAGTTGACAGGTTTGAAGCTTTGCTGCTGGAATTAAATAATGTGAAGAATTAGCCTCACTCAAAGAGCCGTCAGCCCTCTACTGTCAGCTTCCTCGAGGTAATCCTCAGGTCTGCTAAGACTGTCTGCCTTGCCTGGGGGCCTGGATCACACTGGGTCAATACATTTAGGGTGGGAGCTGGCTATGGAGGGAAGACCGATACGTGATTTAGGTTTAGGGGCTTTGAGGAAACTGATAGTAGGAGACTGGAGACAAATCAGCCAGGAGGGGGTCAGTCATGTTCGTATGACACTTCTTGTTCCTTGTTTATTAAGTACTTTTATCTTAAGAGGCTACTAGATTTTTCTCAAATGCTTTTTTGGTGTCCACTGAGATAGACGATCATGTAGATTTCCCCCTTCATTCTATTAATCCTGGTAGCTTATAGGTTTTCACATGCTGAAACAACTTTGCATTCCTGAGTAAATCCCACCTGGTCATAGTGTACAATGCTTTCTATATTCTGCTGGATTCACTCTGCGAGTGCATTCTGAGGACTGGTGCATCTATATTCATAAGGGTTAAGATCTATAAGTATGTACTGCACTTTACTTTTTCTGTTTGGTATTACGACTATATTTTCCTCATGAAATGAGTTGGGAAGTAGTACCTCCTCTTCTATATTTTAGAACTGTTGATAAAGGATTGGTATTAATTTTTCTCTAAATAATTCACAGAATTTACCAGAGAAGCCACCTGAGCCAGAGCTTTTCTTTGTGGGATGCTTTGTCATTACTAACTCAATTTTGCTATACTTTCATTCTGATTCTTTTTGAGTCAGTCAACAGTTGGTGGATTGGTAAGAATTTATGCAGTTCACAGGTTATCTACTTTCTTGGCATACTTTTGTTCATAGTACTCCCTTATAATCCTTTTTATTCCTTTAAGGTCAGTGCTGATGTCTGTTTTTAATTCCAGATTTTATTAACTTAAATCTTTGTTTTCTATCACTTTTAGGTATACGTCTGTCAATTGTATTGAACTTTTCAAAGAACCAAATTTTAGTTTTGTTGATTTTCTCTAGTGTTTTCTATGTGACAAATGACTTTTAAAAACACCAGTGACAGTTAACGTACATTCAGAGAATAACATTGAATTTATAATCACTCTGAATTTGGTAAAATATTTTTCAATGGTTTTTTCAAAACTATCTCACCAAAAATATGTATGACTGTCAAAAGGGCCATGTGACCACAGTGATTTGGGCTGAATATCACATTTATACCACCTTCATCCTCAACACTTGAAGTCTCTGAGAAAACCTAGCTAAGACCTGTGTTCTGAGGCATAGCCTATACCTGCGTTGACAAACTGAGGCTTCTGATTATAGTTTCTTTAAATGATTGAATAGCCTGCAGCTGTTTTCAGGAAACAATAGTGAGTAACTCCAGAGTGTGGGGCATAAAACATCAGCCTCATTTCCTTAGAACTGCTTCTGACTATTCTAGCTTTGGCCTCTTAAAAGTATACATGAAGTAGAATACAAACATTTCTTTAAACAGTTGTAGTAATATGGTTAAATTGGCAAAGAAAGAAAAAAGCAGATCAGACATTTTGTTTTAGAAAAACATAAATAATATACTTGCCATTCATTATCCAAGGCATATCAAAGATCACCATTTTTGCTGAAAGATGAAAAACATTTAATTGAATGTGACTTACACCTTTATAATATCACTTATATTTAGCCTAGAAAAACTGGTAATTTCAGTGTAAAACTAAACCGGCTGATTCAGCCCTAATTTAGTGATGTGTGAGTGGTGCCAGGACTGAAATAACACCTCACAGTTTGACAGGCCTGCTCTGGAAGAAGACTCATTGAAAATCAATAAAGCACTGTTACAGTCCTTTGGCAAACAGTCTGTTTCTTTGTTTATTTATTGCTTGCATTGTTTGCAAAAAGGTACAAAAGAAAACGGTTAAGTGGGTAAGTGGAGTCTCTGGATGGGGTCTGTTATATTAGTGCTGAATGGTGACAGAACTTCAAAAACATTTTCATGTCTAATGCATGGTTGCAATTATAATTGTCTAGATTTTACTGTTAAACCAGTCTCACAGTCGTCTTTTCCCCTCTTAATAAATTATTCTGTTTGGAGAAAAACTGCTTTTACTTTTTAATATTATGAGTTCCAGGAAGCCAATTATTCTAAAGCATGTATGAATATTATCTATATATTGAAGATACGAAACAGTCCTATTAACAACTGTGAGAAAGAACAAGAAACCACAAAAGAGATTTTTGATGTCCAATTCATTCTTCTACTAGATGAATCAATATGTAATTTCATTCTTCTCTGGGCAGAGAACCTCCTAGGGTGGTTATATTACTGCAGTTCATGTAAACTACATACGAAAGAACACATGTTATCCGGAAAGAGGAAGTGTGGTGCTCAATGTCCACATCTTCACCTGAGATATACTTAAGATATGACAGTTCTATTTCATGGCAGGTTTTGAGGAATGATCAATTTATGATTCCACAAAATTCAGTACTTGGAAAACTACATGTTGGTAGACTATATATATATACATTATCTGTATTTACCTGAAATGAATAACATTGAATCAATGATAATAAAGATCCATGAATTTATTAATAATTTTCTCAAAGGAATCTCCAATGTATTTTATAAAATAATGATATTTATATTATTTCTAAGTGAGTTTACAAACTCTTGTAGATAGCTTGATAAACAGGTAGATATTATAGTTTCACTTTGTCTATAAGAGGAACCAGCTAATAATAATAAGTGGTCATTCCCTATTAAAACCTGACTAGCACTGATCAGCGAGTATTACTGAACTAGGGTACCTGTCAAGATACAGGAAAAACCCATAAGGAACAACAGATCCCACAGGACTTGATCATTCTATCTAAGAACATTCAGTGTTCTCTATCTAAGAACACTCCGTCTGAAGAGATGTGAGTGCAGAGCTAAGGGTGGCAATGACTCTCAACATCCATTACGCTCTTTGTCTGCTCCTCCCTTTACATCAACAACAATATGACAGTATGCCAAAGTAAGATGATTTAGAGACTTTATGCTTTCGTGTCACCTGAGTCATGAGTCCCAAAAGACCTTAACTGTGGTATTCATTAGGAGTATGCCCAGGCAGATCTGTGAATTTCCTACATATGTATGTTGGTAACTTGTTTTCCTGGGGGGAACCTATCACATAAATCCAACAAATAAAAAAATGAGTATATAAAGTTTAGCAGTTCTTGGAAGAGTTATGATTAAAAACGAACAAACTACAAAAACCAAATTCAAGTAAGTACATTCCAGTGAAGTTATTTTCTGACAGTTTCCAAATAGCAACTAGTGATACATTGTACTTTATGTATCAATATTATTTATTATACATTATATTTGATCAATATTGCTTATTCTTACATGCAAGATGTTCCATATAATAACTACTATTTTAAATGAATTTTTAGGGTGGAAATCAGTAATTGCAGGCTAATGTTGTAAATAAATGTATGTTTGTATGTACCTGTATGTGTATTATTACAGGGTTCCATATACACAGATCAGAAGTTAAACTATAAAGAAAATGATTACTTATGAAAAATTTTTCTCTGTCTAATAACACACTTAAAACATCAGAAAACAATGTTTCAGCTATGCAAGTGTATAATAATATAAGGCTCCAGAATTCTCAGACATTATCTACAGTTTCAATATATTTTTATAAATGAGTGAGTTACTTACAGAGGTATTTAGGGTAATAAACCCTAAAGCAGTTGATGATAAAGCGTACAAAGTCCATGTCCTAAAATAAACATTAAATCTTTAAGACTATTCATATTAGAGGAGTAGAATTGCACATTTCTAAAGGTGATATATTATTAAATACAAATAATTAGTAAATTCTTAAAAAATAAGCTCAAATATAAATGTCTATATTCTAAGGATTAAGGTAATGCATTATTAATCCATTTATAATATTCCATACTAAAATTCAGATAAAGAGATCAGATTCTTAGCCATGTTTTAAAATTATTAATATTACCTCAAAGTAGTTACATACTTCAGATTGCTAAGGCAATAGGCTGTGGATTTAAAAGCAATCCCTAGAAAAAATTCTAAAAATCTATTGAACACATTACTGAAGCAAGTATCCATAGAGTTTAAAACCTGACTATTTGGAATAATAATATGTGTATCTAAGCTCCAGTACAGTATTTGCTTTCTAAACCTAACTTTTCAACCTTAATAAATACCTTCAATAAAATATACAAGTTAATCTTATCACACTGATCTGCTATGTTTACTTTACTTCTGATCACACTAACCTGTTGCATCTACTTTACTTCTGGCTTCTTTCCTTTTATTTGAGATTCTCAAATTAGGTCTTTAGCTATACTCAAGGTTGTTCATTGAGTCTAATTTCTAGGAGACTTTATAAACATAGCTACCTGGCTAGTTCTAATGCTTTCAGTACAGCAACAGAAAATTAGGTCATTAGGGGTATTATTACACCTCATTTTGTATTACTCCATCACCATAGGCCATCTCATTAACACCAACTGGCTGCCTTATAAAAGGCTGCTGGATGAAAGACATAACTAGGCAAAGTGAAATCTCTCACACTTACTGAAAGGTGGGCTGCTCTAGAGATAAGCATCTATAAAGTCACCCCTGGCACGTGAGCTACAGCAGCTTTAACTACAGTAAACTGAAAGCGTCCTTACAGGTCTTAAGGATTTATTATGAGAAAAATCCTAGTGTGTAATAATACTGTAAAAATTATCATTATATCTACTGTGCACAGTTCCACAATTGGTAGTTAAATAAGAGTCAAAGAAAATAGCTGAGAAAAATGAGTAGTATCCTTGCTCATCAAATCCTGACTTACTGCTATTTTGGTTGGACTTGGTAGGGTGTAGCTGGTTATGTTCACATTCTAAGAACATTAGGAATGCTCTAATGCTCTAGAAACAAAAGAATGCTCTGCATTCTAAGGGTACTTTTGCTTTTGAATGAGTTAGTCATCAATCTTATAAAATATCCTTCTTTTGAGAAATGAAAGATTTTTCTTCTGGTTTAACTATCAGAAATGGACACTTCTAAAACACTGGTTTTAAAATATGGCAACTGCGTAATTTTAAATGATTCTACTTCTTTCATGCAGGCAGCTGTAACTGGTAGTCAAACTGGTAGCTTATGTTAGCAAATGATTTGCTTATGTTTTGCCTTGTAATTCTATATATATCTTTACAAGCTGACTTAAATTCTGTGTGAATCATGAGAGTCATATATAAAAATAAATTACCCGCCTACATTAATCTTATGTAAGTTAAAACATTAATAATGACTGAAATATTTAGTAATGCAAATACTTCATTTACTTATTAAAGATGATGAGATAGCGTGAACAGCTTGAAAAAGACAGCTCTAGTCAATTTTCTACGCCTATATTTGGTAATCAAAAACATTAGCATTTATTTTTCATGGTTCTGGGTTAATAAATAGGAGGCTATCATACTCAAAGGATAAGAAAATTATGATTTACATTTATGGAATATTTACTCATCTAGGTAATTTGATTAAATATGAACATAAATGATTTACTCTATAATTTAAAACCTATTCACGTGGAAACTACAATGGAAAAATCCATGGCACTGGATTCTTAAAAAGTACAGAGAAAGAGAAACATGAAAAATATATCTCTGGTTCTACTACCCCCTGAACTTTTTAACAGTACTTTCTAGCCTATTTTTTATTTAAGTCTAATGTTTCATTTTGGGGGGAGGGAATAGGAGTCACCATATTATAGTATTATAGCTTTTTTTCATTAGAAGTATTGTCTAATATTCCCACAAATTTTTTATGAACATCATTTTACATAGCTACATATATTTCATCAATTGGATATAGCATAATTTAGCATTTCATCGTATAGGACATTTGTTTTTCCTAATTTTTCACTATTTTAAATGACATTCTTAAAAACTTTGTGATGTGCAATGCATCTTCTGTCTTTCAGATTATTTCTTTAGAATAGGTTTCCTAAAGTTAGTCACTAACAAAATAGGATGAGTACAAACACTTTAAGATTCTTAACATACTATTCCAAGTGGATATCCAAGATTGCAAAAGAGCTCTCAGTAGGTCTACAAATGCCATCTCGCTGCTACCAGAATCAGCCATGGTTTAATTAAACATGAAGCATCAACACTTAGAAAAAAATGTGCCAACTGATCTCAATCGCTGCTAAAGGGTTTATAGTTACCAGCGAGGAACAAAAAGCCCAAATTAAAGACTGGTTGATTTGACTGCTTTTCTTTTTGAGATGGCACCTCACTATGTTGCCCAGGCTGGCCTGGAACTCTCGGGCTCAAGTGATCCTTTTGCCTGAGCCTCCCTAGTAGCTAGTACTAGGTGTACACCATCACACTTGGCTACTTGATATTTTTTTTGAGACAGGGACTCACTATGTAGTTCAGGTTGGCCTCAAATTTACAGTGATCCTTCTGCTTCAGCCTCCTGAGTGTTGAGATTATAGGCATAAGCCACCATTCCCTGCGACTGACCTATTTTTTGAGGTTTGCAAAATCACCTAAAGGAAACAGGTATCTAAAGCCAGCCAAATCAAGCAAATAGGAAACAATTCCAAATAAGCAAATACAGTTATCCAACACAATCACAAAGTGCCATATGTGCAAATTTAAGCATCTTACAACTGTAAAACATGGTATAAATGTAATGTCATAAAGATCATACATGACTTTACTCAGTATTTACTGAGTGTGTTCCTCTGTGCCAGGTATAGGGGTGGGTGCTGTAGGTTATAAGTCTTGGTAGAAAAGTTCACTGTTACATCAACACATGCTCTGCGATTCTTGACATCCTACCTCTCCATCCTCTATATAAGACAAGAACATCTATAGGCAATCTAATGTAAGGCAAAAATATGTGAAGCCCACACCTAAGCTAACTCCATTTTACAGCAATATTTGGTTGGCAGGAAGGACAGAAGAGAGAAAGCAAGCCAGGATAAACAATGATTTAGAGTTAATAAAAAATGCTTACTATGCTATTTAGTCCAGTTTCGGACAGGTCAAACATCACCGTGACAGGTTTCCCATTTTCTCTCTTAGCATAACGTTCCAACCAAAAAGCTATAAGCTTCTTTTTGTCCATTATGGTTTTCTGGTCTTTTACATGATATTTCACCCTGATCCAGACTTTAAGCAGAAGAAAAGATACAAATAAGAACAAGATTTAGAGCATTTTAATATTATTATACATATATAGTCTTTCCCTTAACATGTTTCTTCATTTATAATTCTTTTTGTTTCATAGATTTAAAACATCTTTCTTTTAAATGAGAAAGAAATGCTCTTCTGACATTAAACAAAAGAGTAGCGGAGAGGTAAACTAGTTTTTTTCCCCTTAGGAAGTAAACAAACTTCAGTTTTAAGTAAGAGGAAAAAAATGCTGCTAAGCAAACACTACTTGGCAATAGCCTAAAAGTGCTCTTCAGTGTGCTTGAAAAAAGAGCCAATGGTTCTGTCAAACACTAGAAAAAAATGTTCATCCCAGAGGAGAAGCACTGGCAGGTACAATGGAAGCTGGGCACGTGAGTAGAGCGTGGCAAACCCTTCAGGTGGTGGCAACTGCCATAAAGTGCAATGAGTGGGGTCACAAGGTGCTAACCAGAGATGGGCTGGGCTTGAAGAAGTTTGAGCGAAATGCTAGGGCATTTTGATTTTCCTATTTCAAAACACCTCTTGGGCAGCTGGAGGGGGAGCAGACTGGAAGGGGCAGGGAATGCAACCCAACAGGCTACAGTATGGGAAGGGTCTAGGAACCAGGGAGTGAGCGGTACTTAAGCCGAGAACTGAGGAAGTGGCACCTAGTGATAGAAAAGGAACCAATGAGAAGCTATATTAGAGGAGAGGCAATGAATGGGCTGCAGCTCGGCAAATTCACTGAGGGCTAGTGGTAAGATGCGGAAGGTCAGATGTGGGTCTTGCTGGAGGTGGCTGAAAAACACTCAATTGCACCAGTTGGTGGGCACCTGGGTATGTGCATGTGGCCTGGGAACTGGGTAAGATCGCCACTGTGTTTGGGGAGGGAGCTGAAGCTGCCAATGTGCGTGAGATGATTCAAGGAGACAGTATCAGCCGGAAAGTAAAAGAGGCCAAGAAAGGAACGAAGCCTGGGAAACAAGCTATGAGAAAAGCTTGAAAAGGAGGAGACAGCGATAAGAAGCACATACAAAGAGAATACTGTTAAAAAACAGCCCAGATCACAAGCTTCAGAGAAGGCAAGCAAGCTGAGCACAGGGTATGTGTTCAGTCTGGGCCTCAAAAGTGCCTGCCAAGGCCCACCCTTGGTACGAAAGCAAGCTGGATTCGGGGCAAGTGGGAAAGCAGGACAAGAGAGTCACCTGAAAAACAGAAATGGTGTTACTGTACCTCTTGTTGTTATAGTCCTTTCAGAAAAAGGCAAGGGGAGATTATGGGAGACACAAATCAAGTCCATTTAGTGACCTTTTGTGATTTCCAAAGAAGTCTCCATAAAAACACAGGATCAAATGTTGACTCCACATACAGTTAAATTAGAAAGAAGACAGTGACTCTAAATGAAGTTATTGTGGCTCTGTTACAAGATGTAGCATTTGCTTTTATCACCTATTTTATTATAATGTAAACAGTGTATACAACTACTAATATCTGACACTTGGTAGAGATGGCCCTAATGATCCTTCACTGCTCGAGACCTGCAATATGCTCCATGTGGAGAAAGTTCTGCTAATTATTAATACAACTGAGACAGATATCTACATATAAAAATTCTGAAAAGCCAGTGCATAAATTAAATATACTTACACAATTTGTTTCCTTCTTTGTCATAACCATGGAGGTAAATACCACCAAGTTCTAATAACCATCTGGGAATGGAGGATTCACTAAGGTCTAAAAAGCGAGAAATTTTCATTAGAAATTGTAATTTAGGCTCTTAGAAATAAAACTCACAATGTAAAGGAAATGCTACACAGTAGTTCTGAAATAAAAAAAGATGTAACTTATTCAAACATCTGACAAGAACTCTGGTGATAAAAAATGAAAAAAGCTAAGGACAAACAGGGGACAGAAATGAAAAAGTTCATTTCCTTTCACATGTCAGCTATCATGTATATGGCTACATTTCCATATTCTGCTTATGTCTCATACAATGAGTTCACTTGTGAACTATTATATTACTAATAGAAAATTTCAAAGAAACATGGGAAGGACTCAGGATGTAGCTCAGTGGCAGAACACATGTTGAACATACATGAGGCGCTGGGTGGAAAAAAACCCATGCTGTTAAATAGTCCCATAGCCTCAGAATTAATGAAAAAAGGCACTTTGGTTTTTCTAGTAAAATGGTATTTTTACACAAAGTTTGGTATCCAGTAGACTTCAATGCACTTGATAACCTTAGGGCAAGTGGAAAAATAAGAAAAACGCAAGATCCTTTAGCAGGAGGAATAAAGGCCTTATTCAGTCTCTGTGGAAGCTAAGGACCAACGTGGCAAGGCAGCCCCACATCAAAGCTTTTGTCTTATTCACTCCATGAACCTGCAAAGATTCTCTTTCCATACCCGCTCCCACCATATGCCTGCTTTTGGTCACCCAAAACTAGCGATTCTATGTGAGAACACAATCAGTGTCTAGCTTCAAGGTTTATTCTGTACTTCAATGATTTAAACACATCAGATTTACAGTTTTTTGCTTGATTAACAAGAGCTTCAGTGTTTGCTGAAGTTACCTACAAGTTTTATATTTCTAATCACCTCATCTCTTAGATACTCCCTTCCTCAAGATACTCCATTCCTTGTATAAGTAGGAAGGCTGCAGAGTATCTGCTCTAGATTTATTTGCTGACTGTTTATGTTAGGTCTTCAGACTCAGTTGCTCCAGAGTCTATAATCTTCAAGGACAAGGACTCCTTCTTTATAGCTAATTGAAACTGATAGTTATGCAAGCTTCTTATTATTAAATCTTTACGAAGGGAAATTCTTCATATATTTCAACATCATTATAAAACTCCCTCTAAGATTTAAAACTCCCATTGGGGGGAGGATTTCCAATTTAACAGTGTATCTAAAAATTTAGAAGTTCAAGAGAAGGCTGCAGTAAACACCCTTGGGGCTAAGTTTGCTTTTCTGGGATCCCCATCCATTTAGCAATTCTATATGGAATACTCATAAGCACAAGGAACTCAGGGGATAGGGATAGATACGGGTAGCGACTGAGAAAAACAGTGTCTCCTTATTTCTAGAGCCAGCGGAGAAGACACTGCCTTGCTGTTGTTTAATGGTATTCCACTAAATCCAAACTAAGGGCCGACTGCTGAGTGTGATTCTGCTCCCTGTTAATTTGATTTTCTTATGAATGATCCTACTCTTGCAAGATTTTTTTCATGAGCTATTTCCTTTGAAAGTATTATCAGATCTTCATAAATACTTATACTCTGGCACTTATGATGACTGCTAACAATATGTACTAATACACAATTAGATAAACACAAAATAGTAACAGTCATGCAGGTGATATTACCCTATCAAAGTTAAATTGAACAGTTTACCATTGACAGAAAACTCTTTTCTCCACTGAAAACTCTCATCAATCATCTTCACTGTTTCATCCACAACATTATGTCTCCAATGTAAGTAACTTTCAACCCAGTTATCATCTTCTTGTAGCCTTTCAACATCGCGAGGATCATATTTATCTGACTTATCTAGGAGAAATCAGCAATAAACATCCAAATCAGATTAATTCTGCAATCAAAAATAAACACTAATGCCAAAGGAGAAGAAAGACCTGGAAGGCAAAGCCAAGCTTTTTTTATGAGACAAGGGCTCTGCTGGCCTTGAACTCACTATGCAGCCTAGGCGGCCTTGAACTGTGGCAATCCTCCTGCCTCAGCTTCCTGAGTGTTGGGATTACAGGTGTGCAGCACCATGCCCAGTTCTAAAGTCAAGTTTTTGAGGACAAAGGAACATAATTCAGATTTAAACACATTCATGACATGCTGTCTCACTGCCAAGTGGGTGGTATATGAATGACTGCTCCACTGAGCAGTTATTTAAAAATTAACTTTATTACTAAAAAGAATGATAAAAGTGGTTAGAACTGTTTGTACTACCAGTGGTACAAGGTGTCCGATGGGATGGACAGTCATGCATGGGATGGATAGTCATGCATGTCACCAGTGATTTAAGCTGGTGAGAATGTGTTAAAGGTTTGATAAAATTTCTAAAGGAGAGGAAAACAAAGTTATCTGAAGAGTGCAGGCTTGAAAAATAAAGCTATAGCCTGTGTGGATGCACACGCCTGTACTCCTAGCTACTCAGCAGGCTGAGGCAGGAGGATCACTTGAGCCCACGAGTTTGAGACCAGCCTGGGCAACACAGTGAGACCCTGTATCAAAACAACAAACAAACAAACAAAGAACCCTAATAATATGGTCACAGTAAAATATTTGGCACCATCCCCTAGAATTACAACCAACATCTGAGAAAATCCATTTTATGAACTTGAAATCCTTAATGAAGTCAACAAAAGATAATTTTTTGTACAGAAATAACCCAGTTAATCTTTAAAAAGTTGTTTTACCAAGTGCCATAAAAATACTCATATGCAGCATTATGGTATTTTAAGACTCTATGGCCAACATTTCCAATAATTTATTGGGATAATTATTTTCCGAACAATTTCTCGTCATCTGCCAACATACTTATATTCCTCCTAACCTCGGCATCAGCTACTCTTCCTTATATGCCATCTTCTCACTGTCTTCTTGTAACTGAACTCTCCCCGTCTCTGCACAATCATCTGCACACATTCTGCCACACTCCTTTCGAGAGCTTGCTCTTCCATGAAATTCTCTCTGTACCCTCTGTGAACAGGAAGAGGACTTGAACTAAGCCTTTCTTAAGGCACTTAGCAGTTCTGAACTGGAATCAGAGTTACTGGGAAGCATGCCATATTTTCCAAACAGCCAGTAAAGGCCCAGAGTCTATACAGCCTAAGAACCCTCAGAAGAGGATGAGAGTAGTAACAGTGAAAAGGCTTCCAGGAAACATGTCAACATAATTTATTCTGACTCAATGTTTTTCTTCCTCGGCTATCTATTCTTCCCAGAGGCCCAAGCAAAAAGCTCAGGAAAATTCCCTGGCTTCTTCCTTTCCTCCTCTTTCACATCGAGTGGGCTGCCAAGCTTTATAGGTTCTACCTCTCCATTTGCACAGCCTTTATTTCAGGGCCCCGGAGATAATGCCGTTTCCCCAAAAATAAGACCTAACCAGAAAATAATCAGCCTTGAAAACTAGAGATCAAACCTGCCAACCCCAATCAGCCTATTCTTGTCTTACCTGCCTCACTGAGTAGCCAGTAAGCAAGAGAACACTGACGGCAAGTAAGGCAAGGACAGGCTGATTGGGGCTGGCAGTTTGATCTCTAGTTTTCAAGGCTGATTATTTTCCGGACAGGTCTTAGTTTGGGGGAAACAAACGGTTAAAAGGACAGGGAAATATTCTGCCAAAGACTGTACCTACATCTGCATACCAATGGTTTCCTTTATCATTCTTTCAGACAAATACAGTTGTCTATGAAAAATGTAACTGATACAGCTGGCAACTCAAAGGTACTATGCAGAAGTGTTTTGTGTGTACTTCCCAATTTTCTCACACAAGATCAAAAGGGCATGCATCAAGGACAAGATTTAATAAAATTTACTCACAATAGTTTTGACCTCTCAGGCTTCTGAGAGTCTTAGGCAGCCCTTAGGGCCCCAGACTACACTGAAAACTACTTATAATAATATTTGGCAAGTGGTAAACTCTCAGTGAAAAGTAGCCAGAATAAGAAAAATAAAACATTACTGTTACCTTACTATTGGTAATACTATAAGGAGGGATACCATAAAAAAGATAGTGCTCCTTACTAAGAAATTTAAAGCCCAGTGGTCTTTGATAGCCTGTAGGGAAGTACATCTTTGAAATTAGAAGCTTCCACCAATATTAAAGTGATTAATTATTGCTATTAATAGACATGTTCTCACACATGAAATGCTGATTTTAACCATTCATCCCTAGACAAAGAGCAATGAAATGGCGGGGTGACTGAAGAGGGGAGCATGAGGTGCTTGGGAGAGAGGCTGGAGGACAGCAAAGGCAGAGGGGGCAGAGGACAAGGGGATGGAACAGGGTGATAATGGCAAGGCAGGGAGAGAAAGAGTAATACAGAGGAAGAAGAGAAAACTGAGGGAGGCAAAGGCGGACAGAAATGCATAAAGAAAACAGCTTTCAAGCTAAGAAGCATGACCAGGGGCCAGAAACAAGGCAAAGAGGGAATAAGTAACTGTGCTTATGGCAACAACATCTGTTGTGTTCCCACAAAGCCCTCAGACAACTGGGCCCTTAGGTGACTGGGCATTTTCAGAAAACCAATCCTTTGGTAAGTCCAGATGGGTTTGAACAGGCCCCCTCCAGCAGGGCCCGCAAGAGGTGATTCGGTCACGAGAGCTTCTCTCTTCATAGGAGGAAGGCCCTCATAAATGAGGCTTTGTACTCCAGAAGCTGAGGCTAGAGGACTGGGAGAGTCCAGCACACTTCTCAAAAGACAAACAACAAACAAACAAACAAACAAAGAGGCTTCACACAGTGTTAGCTAGATTGCCCTTCTGATCTCTCACACGTGAGGGGCTCAGCAAGGAGGGGTTCGGGGACAATCCACTTGATCTGGGACTTTCCAGCCTCCACAATTGTGAAAAAATGAATTCTGCTCTTTATAAATTAGCCCGTCTTGCGTATTTTTTGTTATAGAGAAACAAAACAGACGATGAAAAGTTGTTGCAGGAGATAGCTAAAGATGTATGCGGAAGATATAAAAACACACGACTATGTACACATACCTAGGACATCATTTTGAAAGACATTGCCTTCAGTGATTAAAGTGTAGAGATGAGGGAGGGTTTGGTTTTCTGCACAGGTATGCATGTTTACATTCTCATACTTTGTCCTTATTCCTTTCATCTTTCTGTGGACTGCTAAAAACACCACAAACTAACATTAATCAAACTATGAGCACACCTATAGTTCACGGTCCCCTTTCATTTTAAATATTTGTCCTTATACAAGTTTTTCTCTGTAAACTTGCCTTATATTTCTGCAAACGTATCACCACCAGGTAAATTCTAGTATCTACAATTTGGCAGAGAAAGAACTAAAGGTACATGGCATTGGCAACTGACCTCTATGAACAGACAGAACTAAATGTTCTAAATTAAAGATTATTTCTCTATCTCAGTTTTTCATCTCTCTTCTGTATACATACTTTAAAAAAAAAAAAAAAGCTGTAGCCGGGCGTGGTAGAGCATGCCTGTAATCCCAGCACTCCAGAGGTTAAGGTATGAGGGTTACTTAAAGTTCAAGGACAGCCTGGACTGCAAAGTGAGTTCAAGGCCAGCCTGAAATGTATAGCAAAACCCTGTCTCAAAAAAAAGTATTACAAGATAAAGAGAGTATAAATCTTACTTGTAAAACAGAGTCATCACCAAGAGGTCAGACATTGTGTTTTTAAGTTCAGAAATGTGGAAAAATTCTACCTCACATTCAGGGTATTGGGTAGAGTGATAGAATCAGAAGACTCATGCTACCATGTATTAGGGAGACTGAGCAAGTCTCTCCAGGCCTTAGTTTCTTCTCTGCAAAATGAAGATAAGAACCGCCTACCTCCGAACTCAAGTCAAAATGGTTCACAGATCTCAATATTAAAACAGAAACACTAAATCTATTGGAAGAGAAAGTAGGTAAAAACCTTGAAATCATAGGGGTACGCAGAGAGTTCATGAACAAAAACCAAACTGCACGTGAAACACTTGAAAGAATCAACAACTGGGATCTCATCCTACTGAAAAGTTTCTGCACATCTAAAGAAATCACCAGCAGAGTAAAAAGAAAAGCTACAAACTTGGAAAAAATTTTAGCCAATTGTCCCTCAGACAAAGGGCTTCTATCTAGAACATATAAAGAATTAAAAAATATATCAGCCCCTCCAAATTCAAAGACCTAATCCAAAAATGGGCAGACATACTTCTCAGACAAGGAGATACAAAGGGCAAATAAATATATGAGAAAATGTTCAACATCATTAGTCATTCGAGAAATGCAAATTAAAACAACACTGAGATTCCACCTTACCCCGGTAAAAGTGGCTAGCATTAAGAAATCAACCAATAACAAATGCTGGTGAGGCTGTGGAGAAATAGGAACCCTTCTCCACTGCTGGTGGGAATGCAGACTGGTGAAACCACTGTGGAGATCAGTTTGGAGATTCCTCCGAAAACTAGCTCTAGAGGTCCCATTCAACTCAGCTATCCTCCTGCTGGGTATTTTCCCAGAAGATCTAAAAACATCATATCACAGTGATGTATGTGCACCTATGTTCATAGCAGCACAATTTGTAATTGCTAAAATGTGGAAGCAACCCAAATGTCCATCCACAGAGGACTGGATAAGAAAATGGTGGTACTTTTATATAATGGAATATTATTCAGCTGTAAAGAAAGATAAACTCGAGGCTTTTATAGGTAAATGGTCACAACTAGAGACCATACTCATAAGCGAAATAAATCAAACATACATGTGCAAGCACCGCATTATTTCACTAGTGTAAAACCTGAAAGAGTTAATTTAAACTAGGAGATATGATAGACATTGTGAATTGATAGGAAAG